CAGTTTCAGCTTCCAACAATCCATTTGGCTTGCCCCGCTCGGACGCTACACCCTTCAATAAAAATAAGGTTTATTTTTAAGCACATCTTCGGTACCGTCAAGGCCACTTTGAGCCCTTTGAAAAGCACGAGGTAAATACAGCGTAGTTCTGTTCTACCACACATGCTCTAAGACACGCGTTCAAGAAGATGCCAGTTTTAGACCCTCAAATGCCCTGTAGGGCTTGTAAGCTTAAATAAATGGTCAATAAGGAAATGTACCGTCCGCACAAAATTCGCGTCGGGTTACAAAACTACTGGAGAAGAAGTTTATTTTCAAGAGCCCCCCTCTATGTACTGGAGTGCTTGCTTCGATGGTTGGTGACAAAAGAGGCGTGACTGTTGCTGATGGAATAGTCTTGAATGTTTGTAATAGTGATAGAGACAGAAAATGAAGTGTGATTGTAAATAATTAAATGTCTGACCTATGAGGATGTTGGAAATGCTTTATACTTTAGGGATTTTCACATTTTATGCAGTGCTCCTTACAAATTAATGTCTTTATCGGACACCATGGGAAGTATAACAAAAATGTTGGCCTTGGGTTGTTTATACTTGCTAAAATGGAATTTCTTCGGAGTACCACTTTTACGAGTGAGGTTTCGCCTTCTGCTTGTGCCTGCACTCGTTACCGTTGTTCTGCCGTTTTTTGTGTCCCTTAAAATGGCATATAGTCTTTATTGGCCAGATTATCTCGTTCTCGTTGCACTTTTGGTTTTTTATGCTTGTGTGGGCATTTGGTACGGTTACGAAAATCAAATTAAACGACTTTGGCGACGAATGCGCGGTAAAGATGTGGAAGAGGCGGCACCCATGACAACTGATGACATTTTCTTGGGGAACAGACGGCTGGGTTTATTGCCCATTCTCGGAACGACTGTTGCCAGTTTCATATCAGCTGTAACTCTCCTTGGGACAAACAATGAAGTATATACTAATGGAATCGAATTTGGACTGATGATGCTTGCCTATTTAATTTCTTTCCCAGTTGCGGCTGAAGTTTACGTTCCTGTCTTTTATAAGCTGGAGCTCTCGAGTTCGCATGAGGTAGTTCATTTTGGGGTTTTGACTAAATTTGTTGTAGTATCTAGAGATGCGTTTTAACAGAAGTCTCCGATGGCTCGTAACAGTCGTCTTTGCGCTTCAAATGGTAAGCAGCTTTCTTTTATGCTTTTCTGTTAAACACAATCTGTTTTGAATGTGAATTTTTTGCCTGTTCGTTTTTGTGGTCTTGTTTCTGACGCTTGATGAATGCGGCGTGTACCCTACACCATTGGCCCCGGGAGTTGTTGACGTAGAAAGATTAATAAAGTAACTTGCCAAAACGTCTGAATCTTCGATGGGCTAATTCATGCATTTGAGATCCAAAAATAACTATGTTTGTTGAATTGAAAGCCCATATGTTTATCTGGATTTCAATGTCAGTGCCTCGAATGCAGTCAATACAGAAAGAGCATGGATTATTATACTTATCCGCATGCGTATAAACAAGCATTCGGCAATTCACTTTTGCGGCACGAGGGAGTGATAGTTTGTAAAAATATCCTAATAACGCAAATTGAGAGGTCATTATATTATCAGTGTTATGTATAAATGATTAACCTTTAACTTAAAAGAGTATAACATGAAATCACGGAGGATATTATGCTGCATCTGTCTGATC